GTGCCATTCTAGTAAAACAAGAAACATACATTTACATAGGACCTTTTATCACCTCTCGGGACAGCCTGAAGTGCTTTACAGCCAATTGTGGTTTTGGTTCAAGTAAGATTACAGTCCTGTTGCAATATGGGAACCACAGCAGTCAAACTGAATCCAGACTGAGTGTGACATCAATTAATCCTAGCAAACCTTACAGTCAGTGGGAATCAGGGAAAAGAAAAAAATCTCTGCTGTTTGAAGTCTTATCTCACCTAAAGGATGATGTTTGGGGCTGTTAGGTCAATCATCTCAACTCCAGGAAGTCACTGCAAGCGTTCATCAGGATGGTTTCCCAGGCCCAAACGTTTGTTTAATGATTGATTGAATGATTTTCCTACCAACACGGATATTCGCTGATGATCGTATAATGTTAGCACCATTCACGACTCCTCAAATACTGAAGCAATCCGTGTCCGTATGCAGCAAGACCTGGACAATATCCAGGCCTGGGTTGAAAAATGACAAGTAACATTCACACCACATAAATGATAGGGAATTGCCATCTCCAATATAACAGATCTAATCATTGCCCCTTGACATTCAATATCATCACTACCTCTGAATCCCAAACCATCAATATCATGGGTTTTAGCATAAGCGGAACTGAACTAGCTGTATAAATACTGTGGCTTAAAGGTCAGTTCGGAGGCTGGAAATCTTACAGAGAGTAACTCATCTGACAGTGTTCCCTCCATGCTGCATGGCTGCACAAGCACTCCGACCTTCTGCATATAGGGAATCACTGTTCTGATGTGGATTGCAGCATTGACTTTCAATTCTGGAAGTCGCTGCCACACACAGACCTCGGAGGCCCATGCAACTAGAAAGAAAATTAGTAGGAGTACTAAGTGGGAGTACTCCTGACTCCCCAAAGTCTCTCCACCACAGGATACAAGTCAGGACTGTGATGAAATACTCCCTACTTGCCAGGATTAATATATCTCCAAACTCACTCAATAGGCTTGATATAATCCAGGACTAATCTATTGGTGAGGAGATTTGCTACAGCTGCTAGAACTAGTAATGGGGGCGTGGGGTTTGGGACCCAGGGAAATAGTGAGGAAAGAGATCAATCTGAGACTGGTACAGTTGGGAAAAGGAGCAAGTCAAACAGTCAAGGCAGGCAGGAACTAAGCACAGGACAAGGTAAACCTGATTAATTAAACTGCATTTATTTCAATGCAAGAGGCCGAACAGGTAAGGCAGATGAACTCGGGATGTGGTTGGGAACATGGAACTGGAATATCATAGCAATTACAGAGACATGGCTCAGGGATGGACAGGACTGGCAACTTAATGCTCCAGGGTGTAGATGCTATAGGAAGGATAGAAAGAGGGGCAAGAGAGGAGGGGAAGAGGTGTTTTTAATCAAGGTTAACATTAAGGCTATACTTGGGGAGGATATTCCCAGGAATACATCCAGGGAAGTTATTTGCGTGGAACTGAGAAATAAGAAAGGGATAATCACCTTATTAGGATTGTACTATAGAACCCCCCACAGCAGTCAGCAGGAAATTGAGAAACAAATTTGTACGGATGTCTCAGTTATCTGTAAGAAAAATAGGGTGGTTATGGTAGGGGATTTTAAGTTTCCAAACATAGACTGGGTCTGCCATAGTGCTAAAGGTTTGGATGGAGAGGAATTTGTTAAGTGTGCACAAGAAAATTTTCTGATTCAGTATGTGGATGTATCTACTAGAGAAGGTGCAAAACTTGACCTACTCTTGGGAAATAAAGCAAGGCAGGTGACCAAGTTGTCAGTGAGGGAGCACTCTGGGGTCAGTGACCATAATTTTGTTAGTTTTAAAATAGTGATGGAAAAGAATAGACCAGATCTAAAAGTTAAAGTTCTAAAGTGAAGGAAAGCCAATTTTGACAGTATTAGGCAAGAACTTTCAAAAGTTAATTGGGAGTAGACATTTGCAGGTAAAGGGACGACTGGAAAATGGGAAGCCTTCAAAAATGAGATAACAAGAGTCCAGAGACAGTATGTTCCTGTTAGGGTGAAGGGCAAGGCTGGTAGATGTAGGGAATGCTGGATGACTAGAGAAATTGAGGTTTTGGTCAAGAAAAAGAAGGAGGTATATGTCAGATATAGACGGCAGGGATCGAGTGAATCCTTAGAAGAGTATGAAGGCAGTAGGAGTGTACTTAAGAGGGAAATCAGGAGGGCAAAAAGGGGACAGGAGACAGCTTTGGCAAATAGGGTTAAGGAGAATCCAAAGGGATTTTATAAATACATTAAGGACAAAAGAGTAACTAGGGAGAGAAGAGGGCCCCTTAAAGATCAGCAAGGCAGCTTCTGTACGGAACTGCAGGAGACTGGAGAGATATTAAACAAGTATTTTGCATCAGTGTTTACTGTGGAGAAGGATATGGAAGATATAGAGTGTGGGGAAATAAATAACAACATTTTGAAAAATGTCCATAATACAGAGGAGGTGGTGCTGGATGGCTTAAAATGCATAAAGATGGATAAATTCCTGGGACCTGATCAGGTGTATCCTAGAACTCTGTGGGAAGCTAGGGAAATGATTGCTGGGCCCTTTGCTGAGATATTTGTATCACGGATAGCCACAGGTGAGGTGCCGGAAGACTGGGGAGGTTGGCTAACATGGTGCCACTATTTAAGAAAGGTGGTAAGCCGGGAAACTATAGACCAGTGAGCCTGACATCGATGGTGGCCAAGTTGTTGGAGGGAATTCTGAGGTACTGGATTTACATGTATTTGGAAAGGCAAGAACTGATTAGGGATAGTCAACATGCCTTTGTGCATGGGAAATCGTGTCTCACTAACTTGATTGAGTTTTTTGAAGTAGTAACGAAGAAGATTGAGGGGGGGCAGAGCAGTGGACATGATCTATATGGACTTCAGTAAGGCATTCGACTAGGTTCCTCATGCTAGACTGGTTATCAAGGTTAGATAACATGGAATACAGGGTGAATGAGCTTAAAGGTAGAAGACAGAGGTGGCAGTGGAGGGTTGCTTTTCAGACTAAAGGCCTGTGACCAGTGGTGTGCCACAAGGATTGGTGCTGGGTGCACAGTTTTTCATTATTTATATAAATGGTTTGGATGTGAACATAGGAAGTACGGTTAGTAAGTTTGCAGATGACACCAAAGTTGGAAGTGTAATGGACAGTGAAGAAGGCTACATCAGAGTAAAACAGGATCGTGATCAGATGGGCCAATGGGTCGAGGAGCCGCAGATGGAATTTAATTTAGATAGATGTGAGGTGCTGCATTTTGGAAAGGCAAATCAGGGCAGGACTTATACACTTAATGGTAAGGTCATTGGGAGTGTTGCTGAACAAAGAGACCTTGGAATGCAGGTTCATGGTTTCTTGAAAGTGGAACCTAAGGTAGCTAAGATAGTGAAGAAGGCATTTGGTATGCTTGCCTTCATTGGTCAGTGCATTGAGTATACAAGTTGGGAGGTCATGTTGCGGCTGTACAGGACATTGGTTAGGCCACTACTGGAATACAGCATGCAATTCTGGACTCCTAGCTATAGGAAGGATGTTGTGAAACTTGAAAAGGTTCAGAAAAGATTTATGAGGATGTTGCCAGGGTTGGAGGGTTTCAGCTATAGGGAGAGGCTGAATGGGCTGGAGCTATTTTCCCTGGAGCATTGGAGGTTGAGGGGTGACCTTATGGAGGATAGGGTAAATAGACAAGGTCTTTTCCCTGTGGAGGGAGAGTCCAAAACTGGAGGGCATAAGTTTAAGATGAGAGGGGAAAATTTTTAACGGGACCCAAGGGGCAATTTTTTCATGCAGAGGGTGGTGTGTGTATGAAATGAGCTGCCATAGGAGGTGGTGGAGGTATGTGAATAGGAAAGGTTTAGAGGGATATGCGCCAAATGGGAGTAGATTTATCTCAGATATCTGGTCGACATGGATGAGTTGGACCACAAGGTCTGTTTCCATGCTATACTGCTCTGACAAAGCACAAACTCCAAAAACATTCACTCTTCTCCACCAATGCAGTGTATACCAACTACAAGATGCACTATAGACATTCACCAATGTTTCTTAGCCAGCATCATCCAAACCCACAATCACTACCAATTAGAAAGACCAGGGCAGCAGATATACCTGCAAGTTCACCTCCAAGTCACTCACCATCCTGTCTTGGAAATACTTCACCAATCTGTTACTGTCAATGGCTCAAAATGCTCAATCTGAATTGTAGGATGTTGGGTGTACCGATAACAAATAAACTGCAGTCGTTCAGGAAGGCAGCTCACTATCACCTTCTCAGGAGCAAAAAAATGCTGACCCAGCATATCCCCTGAATGAAGCAAAACAAAATCAACTCCCACAAACAGCAATAACCAGATTATCAATATTCTCTTTTTAGTGATGTCTGAACGACAAACATCGGTCATAGGTACCAGGCAGAACTCCAAAATACACATCGTCTAAAGGGACTTCGGTCCATCTAATGGGGCAGATGGTGTCCCAACTTAATGAGTCATCCAAAAGATGACACTTCTGACAGAATGGCACACCCTGCTGCAGTAAAGCATCAACCAAGATGTTGTGCTCAAGTCGTTTACTTGGGATTAACCCTAACCCAACCATTCATGGAAATTATGAAAGTTAATAGCTGAGCAAGAGCTAACGAGCATAATTCTACTTTCCAGCTCTTAATCTTGTCACCTTGCAGTTTCTTATACTTCAAGTATATATCCAATGCCTTTCAAATCTGATGAGGGATCCTGCCTCTAAAGTACCATCCTATCAGACCCCCACCTAAAATGCAACAGTGCTACCCCTCACTGACACCAAATTACTGTTGCAAGTTACGATTCGGATTTGGGCATTTTTACCACCACCTCAACCTCTGAAAAACTGAACAACAATACCAGAGTTACAAATTACATTGCAGGCACAAAACGTATGGGATTCATTGAGAGACATTGCTACAAATCATTGCCTATTCAAAAATAAAAGTTCTCCAGAGTAGCATTGCCTTTTTTATATAATTAAACTGAGGTCCTGATAACTACCTCGGGTGGATCCTATGTCTGCTTCTTCAAGTGAGTTGGGGACTTCTCTATCTCTTAGGCCTAATGTTTATTCCTCAATCAACAACGCGCAAGAATAAATGATCTGATCACTATCATGTTGTTGTTTGTGGGAGATTGCCATGCACAAATTGGCTACTACATTTCCGGTGTTCCAATAGGGACTAAAATTCAAAAAGTACTCAACCGGCTGCCGTGTGCTTTGGGACATGCTGAGGCTGTGAAAAGCATTTTACGGAAACATATACTTGCTCTCATAGAAATTCTCATGGGGCTTCTCTTCTCTTTCTTTGCCCTAGGGATGCCTTGGGCCGAACAGCACTGCATCTGATTATTGTGCACTGGCCCAATATAGTCCAAGACTGGATCGTACCAAAGACCAAGTTCGAGAAAGCCATGGCGGGCATGCAGAGCCGGGCTGAATGGTGCCTGCAGCTGCTGTGCCAGCGTGGGGTGCAGGTCAACGTGGCCACCCAGACCAGGAGTCGGGACACAGCGATGCACCTGGCTGTGCGTCATGGAGCCTGGCGGGCAGTGCCCATCCTGGCACGGTATGGTGCCAACCTAGAGGCAGCTAACCAGCATGGCATGACCCCACTGCACATGGCCAGCGGGCTGCTGGACCGGCACATGGTGGAGGAGCTGCTGGGCCGGGGAGCACGGGTGAACAGCAAGGTGGTGGGCAGTGGCAGCACACCACTCCAGTTGGCTGTCTGCGCCGCCTCAGGCAAGGGGGCGCAGCAACTCGGGGCTGGGCTGGACTGCGTGCGGGTACTTCTGGCAGCAGGCGCCAGCGTTGATGCCCAAGATCAGCAAGGGAGGGCAGCAGTGCACGAGGCATGTTTTGGGGGACGGCAGGAGCTCATTGACCTGTTGTTGGAGCATGACGCTGACTTGGGCCTGCGCACCAAGCTGGGCGAGTCGCCCCTCTCCCTCTTCCTGGAGCGCCGGCCCAATCTCCGGTGCAGCCACCTGCTGGCCAAACTGCTTAGCCTCTCCTGTCCTCTGCGGATTGCCAGTGGGCAGGGGGGTCAGCTGCCTAGCGGGCTGCTATGCCCAGAGTTCTGCCAGCACCGGGAGTTCCTATTAGCCCTGAGCCAGGAGCCACCAGCCCTCCAGGATCTCTGCCGGGTGGCAGTCAGGAAGGTCTACGGCCACCGGCAGAGGCAGCGTCTCAAAGAGATCTTGCCCACTTCAGTGTGGCAGTTTGTTTACGGTTACAGGGACTATGCTAAGAGGCTGGCAGAGATAGAGGCAATAGAACAACTGAACTGTGAGGGTCAAGGGGACCTGGCCAACAGCCTGCTCCGCATGCACCTCTGAGTGGATACTGATGTTACCAACGTACTTTTTAATTTATATTTTCATGCATCCAGTAGGAATTGGTACTGGAGCCCAAGTAGTTTTTAATATCACTCAGTGATGGAGAACAACTCTGACAATGGAACAGTCAGAACAAAATAAAGCAGTTTTGATAAGATTCCTTCATTTATAAAGTGTTTACGGCACAGAGCAGATCATTTAGCCCAACTGCTAGATCAGTTTTTGTACTCCACAGGAGCCTCCTCCCATCCCTCTCTATCTTCAGCACGTTCTATTTTTTTCAGTTGTGTGTTCATTCAGCTTCCAGTTAAATATAACTATTCAACTCAATCACAATTTGTGATAGCAAGTTCCACATTCTCTCTGCTCTCAGTAAAAACATTTCTCTTCAATTCTCAATTGAATTTATTAGTAATGGTCTCATATTTATGGGCTTTAGTTCTGGTCCCCCTGCCACAAGAGGAAACACCCCTTCACATCTTCCTTACAAACTCTTTCATAATCTTAACAAATTCCATTAGGTGATCTTCTAGGACAAGAAACAGTTCCAGCCTATTTAATCTTTCCAGATAGGTATGACCTCTCAATTCTGGTTTCAGTTCTGTCAATCCAAATTTCTCCAGTGCCTCTGTATTCTTTCTATATTATGAATGATTACTGACAGTACTGAAGACAGTGAGTAGTCTTCTATACATGAAGCAAAACTTCCCTGCTTTTCAATTCTCTCTCTACCTGTTTACCTTTATGGCCTTGTTAACCTTGTGTCCTCAGTTTCCAGTACACCAAAAAAGAACTGTCATTTGTAAATTTTAAATTTGTACTTCTGAATCCATGTGCAAATTATTTACATAAATGGTGATCAAGAGTGTACCCGGCATCAATCCTTATGGAACATCACTCCACATCCTTTAGTAGTTTAAGTAACTATCTTTCAGCCCTACTCTGTTTCTTATTTTGTAACCAGTTTGCTACTTTTGCCCCACATACTCTGACATGGCTCACAACTCTACTATGTGGAACCTTATCAAAGGTGAACACATGTTTTCTGTAAATCATCTGATATGTCAATCCCTTTATTTATTTAGTGGGAATTTTTTGCAGTTTTGCTCTCCTGAAACAAACTCAGATCTGACAGAGATGGTATTTGGTGTGCCTTTTGCTCACATCGTGCATTTGACTAAGGTTTCAAGATATTGTGAACCAAATCTAAATATTTTCCCAAACATGCCACTGTTTAAGTGAAACACAACATTCATACTTTTAAAAATAAAACGTTGTTATCTAACTGTGGTTCTTAATTTCATGATAAAGAGAAGGTATTGTGGGTTGTTCTAGAAACAAAAACTGAGGAACAAAACATTCACAGTGTTACGTGAGATTTCTGAGTGCATAATGACAGTACTTGTGTGAAATTTCAGACAGTCACCTCCATCATCTGATTGGACTGCAGGAGCTCAAACATTGTCCTTACAGCAAGGAGGACAAGGTGACGGATTGATAAGAGGTGTTCAACATTATGGTGGAGTTTTGAAACAATAAATTAGAAGAAACTGTTTCCATTGGTGGGAGATTCTATTAGCAGAAGTCACAGATTTGGGATAATGACAAAAGAACCAGGGGAAATGAGCTGAACCCTTTTCTTTTTAAAGATGTCAAATGGTTGTGATCTGCAATGAGAGTGGTGGAAGCAGCTTCAATAGCAACATTCAAAAGTGAATTGGTTAATACTTGAAAAGTAAAGATCTGTGGGGCTGTTAAGAATGGAACTAATCAGTAGAATTGTTCTTTCAAAGAGTCAGCATTGGCAAGACGAGCTAAACAACTTCCTTCAGTGCACTGGTAGAGGCTTGCAAGAGCAATGCAATACATACTCACCTTCAGGTCTCTGTGCATGACACCCTTGGAGTGGATGAAATGCACTCCCTCAAGCAGCTGCCGGAATATGTGAATAGTGCATTCTGGATCCACAAGACTAAATGGATCTGAATTATATCAAAAAGATAAAAATTAAGATTTGCAATTTCATTTAATTTTGTTGAAATTAAAATTTATTTCATATGAAATAATAGGGATAGAATCAAGCAAATTAAATAATTAACAAATGTAAAAGAATGATAAAGAATTAAACAACTCACCTGTAAGGGATAGGCCCTCTGTTGATCTCCTATTCCTGTCCAAAATCCAATCTTGAAGGGATCTCTCACACAACTGCATTTGTATATGCAGCATGAGGTGGAATTGCACCTAAGAAATGAGAGAATCGGACTTGAATTTCTATGACACCCCAAAGTGTTTGTCAGCCAACTAATTAATTTTTGAAACATAAACAGAAATTACTGGAGAAACTCAGCAGGTCTGGCAGCATCTGTGGGAAGATAGCAGAGTTAAAGTTTCGAATCCAGTGACTCTTCATCAGAACTGTTTGTACCAAGTATTTTTGAAGTGTAATCACAATGGAAAGGTAGTAAACATAGCAGCAAATTTGCAGACAGCAAGCTCCCACAGACATCAATGATTTAGGCAATCTGCTTTAATAATGTTAAATAAACATAGATAAGGTCCCTAAGGAGAGGTTCTCCTGCTTTTCACAACAGTGCCATGGGATCATTCATAACTATCAGAGAAGGAAGACTTAACATCTCAATGTTTAGTTTAATGTCTCATCTGAGAAACAGCACTTCCAACACTGCTGCATCCCCTCAGTACTTCACTGGGAGTATCAGCCTATATTTCCATCCTCAAGCCACATTTTAGACACATATTCAATTATAAATATGTTTTCCACCAAATCCAAGATGCTTTTAGGGACAAGAGGAGTGAAGTTCAAATCTATGTAATTTAACTCATCTTTTGCTGATTGTACTTTTGATGGTTACACAAATAGACATCACAGAAGTGTAACAGTGCAGAAGGCCATTTGGCTCAACGTGTCCATACTCAGGTTACATTTGTATCTTTTGAAAATTACTTGAAATCTGCACCTCCGGTTCTTAATCTTTTATCAAAACCTTCAATATTAAAAGGGAATTAGCCTGATCAATTGTAAGCAATTACAATAGACCATTCAGCTCAAATGAACAGTTCTGAAGAAGAGTCATATTCGACTCAAAACATCAACTCTGCTTCTCCCTCCACAGATACTGCCAGACTCACTGAGTTTCTCCAGAACCTTCTGTTCAGAGCGCCAGCATCCACAGTACTCTGTTTTTAGCTAGTCTACATGCCTTGTGCTGTACATACCCTGGATATTTTTGATGGGACAATGTAAAAGAAACTTTACTCTGTATCTGCCTGTGCTGTAATTGACCTGCTCACTCTGATTCTGATATTATGGGGAATTATCCCCAGCACTAGCAATCCCTTATGTTGAATTTCAGCAAAGTGATTCTTGAGCATCAGAATGGATAAGCACGCTGGAAATCTTCCTAATGAATGCTGCTTCCTCACCTTGGACTCATCGTGCATGTCTGTGAATAATGAGCCATCCTCCAGACTTGAGTTAGCATTAGCGTAGGAAGATGATCCTGAAATCTCCTCTATGGCACCGGTTACTTTTTCCTTATTTCTCTCAATGTCTTCTGTCTCAGTTTCCACTGCTTCAACCAATGGGTCCAATTTGTTCTTTACTACACATGTTTCAAAACTTGGACATTTCGAAGAAAGGAGTGAAGAGTGCGCCTGGATATTTTTCACTCTCGGGAGGGAAGCTGGCAGCTGATATATGCCAGCATTTACACAGCTTGCTGCACAGTCCCCATCATAGAAGAAAATTTGATTGTCATTTCCCCATGATGTGTTTGTGCACATCTCCTCCTCAACCAGCTTGCTCCTTGACAAAGTCCCTCTCTCTCCTGCAACAGAACTTGTTTCTGCAAAAATGATACTCGAGGAACTGGTTTCTATGTTCTGGATGGAAGAGTCTCTGTGAGAATACAATTTTGAAATCTTAATTAAGTTATGGAATTAGCAAACTAATCTTAACGACTGGTAAAAAAAATTATAAAAATGCTTCCTACAGCAATAAAATGAATCTGGGCCATAAATCCTCTCGACTGAAACTTTGCGTTGTCATTCCCCCACCCAAAGTGTTTTCTTACCTCTCATATTTCCTTCATTACCACAACATTTATACTTCAGACTATTTCATTGATTATAAAGAACTTTGGGATGTTGCAGGAACCACGAGTGCTATAGCACTCTCTTCTCTGAGAGAGACATTTGTGGGTTCAAGATTCACTTCAGAGACTTGAGCTCAAGATCTAGGTTGACAGACCTGTGTAGCATTCAAGGAGTACTTCATTGTCGGAGATGCCGGCTTTCAGATGACACATTAAATTAAAGACACTGCCTGTCCTCGCAGATGGACATATAACGGTTCCCTGGCACTATAAAATCATGAGGGGTATAGATGAGGTTAATGGTAGGTGTCTTTTCCTTAGGATGAAGGATTTCAAGGCTAGGGGACATATTTTTAACGTGAGAGGAGAGAGATTTAAAATAGTTATGGGCAAACATTTTTTACATGGACGGTGGTTCGCATATGGAATGAATTTCCTGGGGAAGCAGAAGATGCGGGCACAGTTACCACATTTAAAAGACATTTGGATAAGTACATGAATAGGAAAGGTTTGGTGGGGATATAGGCCAGGAACAGGCAGGTGGGACTAATTTAGAGATTATGTTTGATATGACTGGTTGGACCAAAGGGTTTATTTTCGTGCTGTATGACTATGACTCTGTTCAAGGAAAAGCAGATGAATTCACCGGAATGTTGTGGTCAGCAATTATCTCTCAACCAACACTATAAAAACAGATTATCTGGTCATTACCACATTGCTGGGTGTGGAAGCTTGCTGTGTACAGATCAGCTGCTGAATTCTCTACATTAACACCGACTACACTTCAAGTATTTTATTAGATGTAAAGTGCTATGGAATTTTGAAGTTGTGAAAGGCGTTCTATGTAGGCTTTTTTCCACGATGACCTGGATTAACATTAGGGTTTGGTTCTGCAAATACCAGCAGCTCTCCTGTAATCTTAGTTGATACTTTGGATTTGAGTGCATAACCTAGGCTGACATACCCAGTGCAGAAATAATGGAGTACTGCACTGACAAAGGTGCTGTCTTTCAATAGAGATATTAAATTGTCAAAAAAGATAGATGAGCAAAATCTTAAAGCATTAATCTGGAGAATGAGCAAGGAATTTCCAAATTTTCTTGGCCAATATTCCTCCTCCAATCATATCCAACAGGAGGAGCTTACATGGTCATTCACTATGATGTGCAGACTAATTTTTTGTTTGCCCGCATAAAAGAAATCAGAGGTCAGGAGAAACCCATTTGATGTAATGAGTTTTGGAACATCCTGAGGCTATGATAGGTGCATTGAGTCATACAGTACGGAAACAGACCCTTATGTCCAACTAGTCCATGCCAAACATAATCTCAAACTAAACCTATCCCACCTACCTGCTCCTGGACCATATCCCTCCAAACCTTTCCTATTCAAATATCCATTCAAATGTCTTTTAAACATTGTAATTGTACCTGCATCCATCACTTCATCAGGAAATTCATTCCACACGAGAACCACCCTGTGCAAAAAAATTTGCCTCAAGTCTTTTTTAAAATCTTTCTCCTCTCATCTTAAAAATGTGCCCCCTAATCTTGATATTCCCCATCTTAGGAAAAAGACAACTACCATCAACTCTATCTAAGCCTCTAATTATTTTATAAACTTCTCTCAGGTCACCTCTCAACCTCCTATGCCCCAGTGAAAAACGTCCTAGACTATCCAGCCTTTCTTTATAACTCAAACCTTCATACCCAGCAACATCCTGGGAAATCTCTTCTGAACTCTCTCCAGCTTGATAATTTTCTAACTATAACTGGGCGACCAGAATTGGACACAGTATCACAGAAGAGGCCTCACCAACGTCCTGTACAACTTCAACATAACATCCCAACTCCTATACTCAAAGGACTGAGCAATGAAGTCAAGCGTGCCAAATGCTTTGTTAACCATACTGTCTATACGTAACGCAAACTTCAAAGAATTATGTATCTGCACCCCTAGGTCCCTCTGTTGTGTAACACTACCCAAGGCCCAACCATTAACTATATAAGCTCCACCCTTGTTTGTTGTACCAAAATCAATACCTCGCATTTATCCAGGTTGAATTCCATCTGCCTTTTTTCAGCCCATTGACCCATTTGATCAAGATCCCTTTGTAATCTTAGAAAATCTTCTTTACTGTCCACAATGCCACCAATTTTGGTGTCATCCACAAACTTACTAACCATGCTTTCTATATTCTCATCCAAATCATTTATATAAATGACAAACAAAACAGGACCCAGAACTAATCCCTGTGGAACACCGCTGGTTACAGACCTCCAGTCTGAAAAACAACCCTCTACTATTACTCGGTCTCCTGCCATTAAGCCAATTATGTATCCAATTGGCAAGCTCATCCCAAATCCCACGTGACCTAACTTTACTAATTAGTCTACCATGTGGAACCTTGTCAAAGGCTTTACTAAAATTCAAATAAACAACGTCTACTGCTCTACCATCATCGATCTTTTTGGTAACTTTCATTAAAAACTCTATTAAGTTTGTGAGACATGATTTTCCTCGCACTAAACCATGCAGACTATCCCTAATCAATTTCTGCCTCTCTAAATGTCCGTAAATCCTATCTTTTATAATCACATCCAACAATTTACCCACAACTGAAGTCAGGCTCACAGGTCTATAGTTCCCCGGTTTCTCCTTACAATCTTTCTTAAACAAAAGTACCACATTAGCCACCCTCCGGTCATCAGGCACCTTACTAGTAATTATACATGATGCAAATATTTTGGCAAAGGGTCTCATAATTTCCCTCTTTACTTCCCACAATGTTCTGGGATACATTAATTGAGGTCCCAGGTTTTATCCACCTTTATATTCTCTAAGATCTCCCGAACTTCCTCTTCTGTAATGTGAATTGTTTTTAAAACATCAAAGTTTATTTCCCTGCATTCTCTAGACTCTGTTTCTTTCCCTGCATTCTCTAGACTCTGTTTCTTTCTCCACAGTAAAAACTGATGTGAAATATTCATTTAGTATCCCATCTCCTGGAATCAACACAAAGACAGCCTCCTTGATTTATAAGAGGCCCTACCCTCTCTCTAGTTACTTTTAATGTATTGGTAGAATCTCTTTGGATTATCCTTAACCTTATCTCCCAATGCTATCTCATATCCCCTCTTTGCCTTCCTGATTTCTCTCTTAAGAATGCCCCTTCACTCTCTATATTGATTAAGAGATTCAATTGAACCAAGTTGTCTATATTTTAAAAAAAAAAGATTCTCTTTTACTCTTGACTAGAACTTCATTATCTTTATTCATCCATTGTTCCTTAATCTTACCAGCCTTACCCTTCACTCTAACAGGAAGAAATTGTTTCTGAGCTCTCGTAATCACACTCTAGAACATCTCCCACTTGTCAGACATCCCTTTACCTGTGGACAGTCTACTCCGATCAACTCTTGAAAGTTCTTGTCTCATACCATTAAAATTTGCCTTACTCCAATTAAAAACTCGAACTTTTATCGAAGGCTTATCTTTTTCCATAACCATTTTGAATCTAATAGAATTAAGATCGCTGGACCCAAAGTATTGCCCGACTTTCACTTCAGTCACCCACCCTGCCTTATTGCCCAAAAGAAGCTCTAGTTTTGCTCCTTTTCTAGTAGGAGCATTCACATACTGATAAAGAAAAATTTTTTGAGTACATTTGACAAATTCTTCACCATCCAAACCTTTAACACTATGGTAGCTCCAGTCGATGTTTGGAAAATTAAAATCCCCCATTATTACAATCTTATTATGCTTACATATATCCGAGACCTCCCTACATATTTGTTTCTCAATTTCTCTCTTTCTATGGGGAGACCTATAGTACAATACCAACATGATCTTTTCTTTCTTATTTGTAATTTCTGCCCATATATTTTCACTGGATGATTTTTCAGAAATATCTCCCCTAGTTACAGCAGTAACGTATTCCTTAATCAAAAATGTCAGCGCACCCGCGCCCCCCCTCGAACACCCCCCCCCCCCCCCCCCCCAACCCCCCAACAATTGTATAATTCATTCTGTTTTCTTAATCATGCAATTGCAAAGAGAACTATTTAGCCCATTGTGCTTATCCAGTTTTTGAAAGAGCCATCCAATTACTCCCACACCTCCACTCTTTCTGATGGCCTGCATTTTTACTGTTTCTTCTTTTCAAGTACTTAACATACGCTCTTTTAAAAATTGTTACTTCCCTTTTAGACAGCAAATTCCAGATCATAAACAATGTGGAAGATAAAGTCATCTTCACCCTAATTTTTTGCTAATTATCCTCAATTTGTCTTTTGATTAATGACCCTCCTTGCAGTGAAAACAGTTTGAATGAGGAGAAACTACCAAAAAGCTCCTCGTAATTGAGAAGGTCTATGTTCAACCTCCCTCAACCTTTTCTGCTCTAAGGACAGCAATCCTTATTTCTCCAGTTTCTCCATGTAGTATTTCTTTCCAACTTTTGGTATTTTTTCTCAACTAATTTAAGAAAATAAATGTACCTGCAATCTTCTTGACCAGAGGGACCTTTTAATGCACATAAATTGCTGACAGGTATTTGGTTACCTAAATGACATGAACAGAGGAAAAGTGTTTTGGTTAAGATGTGTCAGTGGAAGATGGCATACTTTTATATTCATATTGGCTTTTGTAGAGATACAGTTTAACGATACTTTTCAGAGGTGGCGGCTGTATATGCTCCATCCAAGCAGTGTGATAGCCAACAATGTGTGGATGCTGTAGACCAGCCAAAACTTTAACCTCTCTGAGCACCTAAAAATTAAAAAAAATTCCAGTTATGACTCCAAACCTAGAATTCTCACAAACAACTGACTAAGAACTAACTCTTCTTTTTTATTTCTTTGATTCATTCATGGGATGAGGGTGTCACTGGCTGTGCCAACATTTACTGCCCATCCATAATTGCCCAGGGGGCAGTTAAGAGTCAACCACATTGCTGTGGGTCTGGAGTCACATACAGGCCAGACCAAGTAAGGATGGCAGTTTCCTTCCCTAAAGGACCTTAGTGACCCAGATGGGTTTTCCCCAACAATCAGCAATGGATTCATGATTCCAGATATTTATTGAATTCAAATTTCACCATCTGCTGTGGCAGGATTCGACTGTTATCTGGGTCTCTGGATTAACAGTCCAGCGATAATACCAGTAGGCCATTGCCTTGCCAACTGAATTGTAGAAGTCTAATGATATTGAACAGATTGTATCCCTATGACCAAAGCCCTACTGTCACAGTTACAGTTCCATGGGCACAAAAAGTCAGTCTCATACCCACTGCAGGTTCACAATGAGGTTACCACCACTTTCCTTGGCTGTCCTTAACGAAGGTTGGTATGCATTGTGTTTTCGTATGACCCTGGACTGTGACCATGACTGAAGTCATCTCCTCCCTTAACAAACTTATATACAGTACAGGAATTGGCTATTTGTTACAGACAAAAGGAAATGTTTGAGAGGGTTTGAGAGGGAATTCCAGACTGAAGGCACAAAAGCCAAGGGTGCAGCTATAAAAACTGTTGATGTGCAATGAGCCACAATTGGAAGAGTGCAGAATCTCAAGGGAATGAGATTACATATGTTGGGAGTTCTACAATTGTCAACAAATTGACTTCAAACTCAAAAATACAAATGGCAATTTGTTATGTAAATATTAGCACCATCCCCCTTAACTGAATACCTTCATGCAGTCATATCTTGTAATCTTCTTCATAAGAATCTTCTTTATGGCATAAAGCTGTCGATCCAATTTATTTCTAACCTGGAATAAATAGAGAGATATAAAGGGTAGAATTTCTAATTGAAGAAATTTAATGCATGCTACTCATGTTTATGTTTTCATTATAGAGACATTAAGCCATCAAAAAACAAATAAAACAATTATTTGACGGGCAGTGCCTTAAAATTGGGCATAGGCTGCTCAGGAACAAGGTTCAAGAAATTCTTCTTTATGCAAAGGGTCACGGAAATCTGGAACTCTTTTCCCCCAAAAAATGTTGAGGCTGGAGGGTCAATTGAAATGTCAAAACTCAGACTGATAATATTTTGTTGGAAAAAGGTGGTTAAGAGTTATGGAACCAAGGCAAGTAAATGGAATTAAGACATAGATAAGCTATGATCTAATTAAACAGCAGAACAGATTTGAGGGATTAACCTTACTTCTGTTTTGATGTATAAGGTGTTAACATTCTTCCCACCACCACCACCACCACCACCACCACCACACCACCCACCACCCACCATGAGAAAACAGTGCCTTTCAGGAGATGCTCCGTATCTTCAGGCTAATGTCACTATATCTGAGCCTTAAAATGCCTGTGAGGGGAAAGATAGCACAAACGAGGGGGTCCTATGTCACTTGCTGTTTCTCCAGCTCCATGCATTACTATCTCCGATTCAAAAATTTAAATTTAATTTATTTAGACCAGAATTATAAGATAGAAATCAAAATAAAAGATTTTACCACACACCTTATACACTTTTCCGTAACTACCTTTTCCCAGTCTTTCAATCTCTTCAAACTCATTCATGTAGCGAGATGTCTGTCCCTGGAACAGGGCTTCCCTTGTTCTGGATGCAGATCAAATTATTTCAATTAACAACATTGTAAATAATCAGACTACAGTAAAGTTGATCAACCACATTTTAAGGAAAGAAAAAAATATAGAATCATGTATAGAATGTAGTATAGCCAACTTTTACACAAGAAAGCTTCAATACTACTGAATGAATAGTAGTCAAAACTTCACCATAGTGCTGCTGGAGTGGAGGCACAAAGGTGCCCAGTCTATGTGAGGATTGCAGGTTTCCTTCCCCACTAGGATGTTAGTGAACCAACTGGACTTTTAAACAACAACCAATAGCTTCATTGTCACTTTCACTGACATGTATATTTTATTTCCTGAAGTAAAAACAAAATTTAATACAGATTCTCAAATAGACCATGGTGGGATTAGAATTCTGATCTCTGGCTTATTATTCCAAAAACATAACCACTGCAATACAAGAGTCACTATGATCAGCTCATACCTGTAGGAGAGGTGGGTAGATGCGTCTCCATTGATAGCTTGTCCCTAAAATCAGGAATACAATGTAAATTTGAAATAGTCATTGTTTACTAAAAGCCCAATTCTCAACAAGTGTGTAACACCAACACCAGCTAGATTTCCAGCGAAGGTTTAATCATTTCTTAGCTGTGATTTCCCCAATTTCCCACTGTATCACTCTCCAAACTGTCATGACAACAGATAATTAACAGAATCACAGATTTGTTCCAGCCCAGAAAGAGGTCATTGGCATGAGGTAATAGAACCTGTGCCCAAGCTACTGTCTTTTCCCCATATCCCTGCACACCATTTCTATCCAAAAACTCATCCAATGTCCTCTTAAATGCCTCAAATAAACCTGTCTCCAACAGATTTCCACGCAGGAACAACAGCAAACAAGCAGGTCCATAATTCCCAATTGTGGCTCAACACAATTTCTGCGCAAAAGAAAATGTGCATCTCAACTAAATATAAGATTAATACTTGTTAGACCGAACAAGTTATACGACTGCTCTATATAGTGCTAAGGGAGAATGAATCCAGGAGATTTCTGCAGGCCAACCTTCCACTCGCATGGGAAATGTAACTGGTACTCAAGTGTTGTACTCAGCAATTTGGACTTAGGAACTTTCAATCCAAAACGTGCTCTGAACCAGCTACAAATAGTTTCACAGCCACTTTCTGAACCTTTGTCACAAGCAATCCGTGTAGCCAATTTGAGCACAACAAGAATAATGACCAGATAATCTGATATAGGGTTCAAGTCTCACCCAAGGCTTAACTACATAAATTAGGCTGTCACTCTCAGTACCATACTGAGGGAGTGCTGCACTGGCAGAGATGCCATGTTTAGGTAACATAAACCAAAGCCATGTTCAGGGTTCAGGTCAGATGGACATAACTGTTTTCACCGCACTACTTTGAGCAGGGGTGTTATCCATGGTGTCCTGGGCCAATATTGATCTTTCAATGATAACTAAGACATTTTTTCGGGTTGTTATCACTGGTGTTTGTGGGAGCTTAAAGTCTGCAAATTGACTATGTTACTTGCATTAAGTTCAAAGATGTGCAGGTTAGGTGGATTGGCTATGCTGAATTGCCCATAGTGTCCACAGATGTGCAGGCTAGGTGGATTATCACTGGGAAATGCAGAGTTATGGGGATAAGGTTGGGGGTGTATCTGGGTGGAATGCTTTTCGGGGGGGTCAGTGTGGAGTCGATGGGCCGACTGGCCTGCTTCCACAGTGTAGGGATTCTACAATTCTATGAAGACAGCGACAACAATTCCAAAAGTACCTCATAGCACATAAAATGCTTCTAGAGTTCTGTGGTTATGAATAGGTGCTTTGAAAATGCAAGGTGTTAACTTTCAAAGACTTCATGAGACTCAAAGTAGAACTAACTAACATCAGCTGGCATTGCACTCACCTGTCGATACAAGCCGTTGCTCACTGCTTGTAGCAAGTTTGTAAAAGCCTGATTGTGCTGCAGCCTAACTGTGCTAAACTCATCACTGAAGGTGATTGGTGAAATCAAGTGCATTCCTGCTAGTTTATGGCACAGCACTGAAAAAGAAGGACAGATTTAAATTATAAAGGGCCTTTCATGACTTCAGGAGATTGTAAGAGTGTTTATAGCCATTGGTGTACTTTTGAAGGTCTATAATTATGGTAATGTATGGAAAACAAGATCCCACAAACAGCAACTGAGCAATAAATAATCAGCCTAGATACCAAATTTAACTCCCATGATCTTCTCCAAAACATGCCATTGAATCTTTTACATGGACGAGAGAGGGTAGATAAAAACTCTATTTAACATCTCTTCCAAAAGATAGTATTTCTAACATTGTAACATTCCGTCAGTGGAGAAATGTGAGTGTCCCCTGGTATGGGAGTTCAACCAATAATCTTGTGACTCAGAGGCAAGAGCGTATTACCAACCGAGGCATGGCTGATACACGAGGCTGGATGAGTTTATAGAGATCAAGAGAAGCAAAACTATGGCGTAATTTTACACAAAAGTCAACATTTCAAAATAAAGGCATTTCTATACTGAGAGAAAATGTAAATCAGCAAGCACAGGGGTGATGGATGAATGGGATTTGGAAGATAGAAAACAAGTGAGGAAGTAAAGTTTTCAATGATCAAGATCAATGTCAATGTCAAGGTTTTTTTCTGAAGCAAAATACTTCACTTCTCTAAAATTGGAATTTCAGGACACCAAAATAGGCTATTTGCCCAAGAAATCAATAGCAGAACTGGAGAAGTTCAGAGATATCCCAGGATTGTCGGAGGCCACAATGATTTAAATTAAAGTACTTGGAGTGCTGTACGCTGTTTTAGTCTCCATATTCAAGAGAAATATATACCTCCATTGGAAGCAGTGCAGCAAAGATTCACCAATTAGTCACTGGGATAAGGGGCTGCCCTTATGATGACAGGCTGAGCACATTAGATCTGTATTGTCCAGTGTTCAGTAAAGAGAGAGGTAATCTCATCAAAACATGCCATATTTTGAAGGAGTTTGATTGAACAGATATTGACAGAATTTTTCCACTGGTCAGGGAATCCAACATGCAGAGTCTCCCTCTGAAGGGACAAATCATTTAGGACTGAGATGAGGAGAAACCTCTGCACTTGTAGGGTTTTGAATTTTTGGGATTCTCTAGCCCAGGAGGTTGTGGAGACTCCAAGGTTGAATACATTTAAGACTGGAATTGACAGATTTTGGTCTCAAGGAATATGGAAGCAGGCAGGAAAGTGGAGTTGGAGCACAAGCCCAAAATGCATCAGGATCATACTGAAGGCAGAGCAGGATCAACAGGCCATGTTATCATCTCCTTTCCCTATTCCTCATATTCTTGTGTAGCCATTGATTAATTTATCAAGTCCCCAGGATATAGTTTTTGTAACATTATGTTAATCCTTCTTCTCTTTATCTTGACTTTATTACTTCACCACCCTGTGATTGTCAGTGCTGTAGGAGCTTGGTTTCCTTAATTTTCTCTTTGTTCCGCAATTTAT